ATTAGACAGGAGACGTTTTGCGAACTTGAAACTAGCGTTAGATACTGTAGTAAGTCTAAAGTTAGCCTGAAAGTGGTTAATGGCACTACCTTGCAAAATAATGGCGTGGTAGAAGTTGAGCTCTTACTTGATAACGTTTTGTTAACCCATGAGATTAGTATTTGCTCTGGTATAGTTTGAGACTGCATACTAGAATAGCGTATGCTACACACTCTTTAGTAAGGTCATAGAAGGTGGACTTTTTTTTACTAACTGCGATTTTAGGATGGATTTAGACTCAAAACTGCTATTCTTGTAGCTAACGGTTCACCATAGGACTATAGACTGTGTCATTGCACTCGGCAATCTTATTTAACCTTCGCCGCATTTCTCGAACCGATTGTGACTTTTAAGCTTGGTGTTTGGTTGGTGAATAGTCTGTTTAGGGTTGCTGAAGAGTTGTATAGAGGCAATACAATTAAAACCTGTGTTTAATTTAGTTCTTTTAAATTCTTTAGTTAAGTGGTCGTATGCCTTAGAATTTATAATGGCAAATGCACATAAAAGAAGAGAGTTGAATTTATTGGATTTTATTATAACAAAACTAAAGTTGGCGACCTTATTGCGGAGATTTTATCGTCGATAATTTACAACGCACCGTCTAAAATCATTATACCTAGTTTATGAGGCACTACGCTCCAGCAAGATGACCGCAAACCAGCCCTTCTCGTAAATCAATACAATGCGCAGTTTTGAGTTTGGTACGATACTCCGCAAGAGCGTTCGCTCAGCTTGGCTGACGAAGATTTACTTGTTTTGTTTGCACTTTTTTGTAGGATGCATATGGCACACAAATTGCTACAACGTCCTAGTTAAATAAGAGAGGCTAGCAACGGAAGTGGATGATTTTGTTGGCACAGTCACAATAAGCAAGGAGATGCATTAGTAAATAAATTTCTAACTTCTGTAAAAGGCGGAGCCCTAGACACTTTTATGCAGTCCGCAATGCACCTCCATTGATGTACAGTCCGGTGCTCCATGGACAATCGACCCCACTTGTCTCTGAAGGCAACTCTAAAATAATCGCAGACGCTAATTGTGAATGATAGACATCGATCGCCAAAAAACGTATTAGTGTCCTATTTGGTCGGTAATCCAGGGCTTCGATTGCAGTAGACTGAGAGGTATAGAGGACTTATGCGGCCGCTTAACCAGGACAGGAGAGCAGGAACCGCCCACAATAGTGGTGTCTTTTCGCTAAATTCCAAGGAAATGTTTAGGTTAAAAATTAATGTTAAGGCAAAGTATAGACTTAGGGTTGGGTTTAAGAGTACGTCCACGCTTTAGGTTTGCGTTGAGTCTAGTGCTATAGGGCTAGGACGCGGAAATATGCACCCCTTCCGGACTTATACTTAGGAGCCCTTTGTCACCTGTGCGGAGAGTTCCTATTTAGGGAGCCATATAAGTAATCCTTATCGAATTAAGTTACAACAGGGAAACCCATAGGAAGAATTTTTAAGAGGCCAGTAGTTCGCAGGAACTCCACAATTGTGGCGACCCCCTTGGCTTGACCTGATGACCAGTTTTTGTCCGCGTAGTGCTGTTCGAAAGACGAATTAAATGCAAGCAATCTAGATACCATTCAAGGTCAAAAGGAAATTTCACTAGAGATCAAAGTAACATCCGAAGATGCATCGACTCATACTTTAGATAAACTAAATAGTACCGCAAAAACCAGCTGAAGGGCAGAAGCGCATCATCTGAGGGAACTACTTTTATTTGGTTTCAAAAGTTTATTCTTACCTTTAATTCTAATCTTGTAGTGTTAATTATTGACAACCACCATGATAAAAGATCACTGGATATCCTAAAGTATGCAAAGTATAGCTTCTTATGTACTATAAAAATTTGTTGTGCTCCATGTCTTCAAAAGTAGCAGTTTTTGTACAAAAAAATTTCGATAATAGTTCAATTTAGGGCCCAAAACAGTAGGCCAAAACCTCATCCTTGTGTAATAAAAGACTGGTGGTAATGAAGGTTATATAATTTTGGCATTACAGAAGAAAGAAAATGTAAATAAAAAAGCAAAGCGTGTAAAATTAATAAAAATCAAACTGATTACTTAAATAATCTAATGTTTGGCAACAAGAAAGCGCGCCATAAATAAAATGAGCAACCACGCAACTATCGGGTACTGCTCAAATTTGCCAAACAACTCAAAAACTACTAATTTTCTTGATTAAACTAAAGTGAAGTAAAAAATAATATCGAAACTGCGCGTCACCAATAAATCTAAAACTAACCTACAAACTAAAGTAAACTTACTAAAGAAAAGTCAACTAAAATAAAACTAATAAAACAATACTGAACAAAAAACTGAACTAGAGTATCAATAAGTTAGATAAAACAACCTAACTAGACCAAGGTAAAATAAACTGATAAAGATTTTAACTCGAAAAGCAACCGCATGTGGCTAATAACCGTAAAACTGAACAAAAAAAGAAACTAAAAAACCTATAACTAATAAAACTTAATAATCAACTAAAGAAAAAATAAAGTGTACTATAAATCGACTACTTATGGCGCTCTTTTTGCTGCCAAACGTTAGATCATTTAAAAAATTCTGGGCCCTAAATTAAACTTCCACCGAAATTTCTAACGCCCATTGTTTTTCATTTACTGACGTTCTGAAAATGATTTTTGTCTCTAAAGGTAGTGAGATCCATTATTTTGTGTGACATGGGCCGTATCGACGCTAATAGCGCAGTTCTCTTCGAAGGAGAGCAGGGGCTTGGAAATACACTAGTCGATTGCATACTTCTCTTTGTACAAGACCCTTTGCGGAGTCTGATAAACCAGAAAAAAGCTTGGCAAGTTACGCCCTTTGAACTTACCCATCAAAGGACTTGGGCGGCTATCATACTCGATATCCTAATAACGTAAATTAACGTGGTGTACATTCTGAGAATTTCATCAAATTGAAGATTTATGTTTATCGTTTTAACATTATTGGTATCTTTTTTCCTCAAAAGGTGCGTGGACACCTCGTAGCCCGATTAGATCCGCTGGAGATTGTAGACAAGTCCAACAATCTTCGTGAGATCGTGTACGGTCGCTACCTCGGCGAAGCCGGTAAGGCGCCGTTAAATTCCTCTGCCTACACTAACCTCCCTCCCTTCCTCC